CAGCAACATTTTCTTGCACCAGCTTTCGAAGCCCCAGTTCCCTCAGGATGGTGAAAAGCTGTGCAGTGAATTAGTGGCATTACAGGAGAGACTCTGAGCTCAGGAAGCTCAAATCTTCTTTGCGTGTGTGGAAAAAAATGTAACATAAAATGTATCATCTTACAAGGAAGAATGAAATTCTGTCATTTGCAGGAAAATGAATGGAGCTAAAAACCATCATGTTGAACAAAATGAGCCAGACTCAGAAGCACAAGTATCACATGTTCTGCCTAATATGTGAAATCGAAATGAGATGACATGAAAGTAGAAGGGAGAGTATTATTAGACGAGAGGAGGGGAGTAAGAGAGAAGGAGGGATGGATATGAGCAAAGTGTACACATTGAATCCCCTCCCCCAAAAAGTGAAATTAGGGGGAGGCTGGAGCAAGGGGGTGGGCGGGTGGAAATGATCAAAGCCCGTTATGCGCATGTACAAATCTGCCAAAATGAAATCCATTAATCTTCATAACTAATAAGAAACCTTAAAAAGGAAAGAGCTAATAAATGGTTCTAAAACAAATTTTACCATCTTAACTATTTCTAAGTGTTGTGGACATTCTCGTCGCTGAATAAGAGATCTCCGGAAGGTTCTCATCTTGAATAACCAAAAGCCTACACCCACCGAGCAGTAACTCCCTATCCCCTCCCCCACCACTGGCCACCACCATTCCTTTTTCCCTCTCTATGAACTTGATTCTGTTAGGATTTAGATCTCAAGTGTCCCCCTAAAGCTCATGTATTCGTAGATGGGACAGGTAGGGCACACTATACTGCTGGGTAGATTCCTCTACTGATGACTTCATAGCTGAACGTGCTGTTAGCTGGTTGGGCCTGATTGGATGTGGTCACTGGGCACATGACCTGGAAGGGTGTGCTCCTGACCCTGGCTCCTCCCTTCTCTCTGCTTCCTGAACGCCATACCATGAGCAGCTTTCCTCAGTCAGGCCTTCTACCATGTAGGCTCTGCCTTGAAGGTTTCTGCCATGGAGTCAGTTGGCCATGGAATGAACCCCCTGAAACTGTGAGCCAAAAATAAACCTCTCTTCTTTAAGCTGAGGTTGTCAGCTACTTTGTCCCAGTATGGAGAAATGACTAAGACAATTACCCTAGGTATCTCCTATAAGTAGAATTTACAGTGCTTGACTTTTTGTGTCTTATTTACTTCATTAGCATGATGTCTTCAAGGTTCGCCTATATGTACAATATGTCAGAATTTCCTTCCTTTGTAAAGCTGAACAATAATCAAAAACTGATTGTTTATAATGGATAATAAATATGACAGCTTTTTGGTCTAGAGAGAGACATATCTCTGTCTTCCAAGGCCATTCATTTTAAAGGGGTCCTCTAAGAGCAAAACAAGTAGTAGCTTTGCTCTCAAGATGTGCAGAAACATGAGACACCATGAGAATCATCTCCTAACAACCATTTGTCAAAACAGGATTCATTCCTCTGCCCTTCCATGTGTTCAACACACGATATGAGTCAGCTACTGCGCACAGTGCTACAAATAACAGTGGGTTTTGCCCTTGCACTGGTTACCATGGCAAGCTGTCTGCTGCCACACCTATACAGACAGGAGACTCCAGGACAGGGAGCTAGGGTAACACTGTGCTTGAGAACTTGGGATCTTTTACCGAGCAAGTCCACTCCTAGAAGTTTACCAAGCAAAATGAGTGTGTGTGTCTACAAAAAGACTCGTATATCAGCACTGTGAGAGGTTAATGCAGGGAGATATCAAGTTTGAGCCCAACCTAGGCAATTTAGCAACTTGGTGAGACCCTGTCTTGAAAAAAAATTTAAAGGGCTCGGTGCAAAGGCCCTGGGTTAATCCCTAGTAGTACAAAACATAAAATAAAATAAAACTCATTGCAGTTCCATCCATAGTAGCCTATAACTAGAAATAACCCAAATAGCCATCAACAGGTGAATGAACACAAAAAGTGTGGCCAATCCTTCCAATGGAACATGACTCAGCAGAGAAAGCAATGGACCACTGATACACGTGACTAAAGAGTGGCAGGCGTCAAACCTCATGCTGAACAAAACAAGCCAGACACAAAAGGGCACATTCTGTATACTTCCATTACATGAAATTCTAAGAAGAGCCAAAGCTGAAATACAAAGAGAGCAATTGGAGCAATGGCTGCCTGTTGGGTGGCCAGGCCTGGGAAGAGGGCTCTTGATAGGAAGGAGCAAGAGGGGACTTTCTAGGGCGACAGAAATGTTCCCTATTTGGCCAGGTGCCCATGTTATTCAGACGCGGACATTTGTCAAAGCTGATGCAACTGCTCACTTACGACCTGTACACTTCACTGTGTATAAACTATGCCATTTTAAAGTTATTTTTTAAGCTCATGGGCACTGGAATCAGGGAAGCTGTCCCCTAGACTTTTCAACAGTGGATTCTCCTTGCAGAAGCCAGATTGAGAAGAACCAGACTTAACGGGACTTCCGGTTTCTGCAGGGACAGCTTAGTCCACAAGGCATAGGGTACAGAAATGCTTCTAAAGGCACCAGTAGACACAGGGCCAGACATCCGTCATGGAAGCACTATTTGGAGTGGATTTTCTCCCCACAAATAAAGTCTTACCTAAAGCAGATGAAAGTGACCCTACAGGCATTTAAATCTCCACTGCCTGCTGAAAAGTCTCCTCATTTAAGGGTGCCCTGAAGCCCCCTGAGTTCCCCCTGGGTGGGTCACCCCTTCCTTCCATATAGAATTACTGAGGACTCCCAAGTTCTGGGTTCTTGAAAAAAGCAGTGAATAAGACAGATGAAGCCCTATGGCCATCACAGGGACTTATGAGAGCTCTGAAGACAAGAAAATGAAGCATGTGACAGAGCAGCTGTGCCTGTCACTCAGGGCCTTGGGGTGCCTTTGACAGCAGTGTCTGGGTCCGGGGCAGCCTCTCTAAGGAGGGAACATCTAAGGCTGGAAGGGAAAGAGAGGGCTCCCCGTGCGGGGCTGGTGGGAGAGCATTCCAGGTGGCTGGTGTGGAACAAAGGGCTGTGTGGCGGATACACCCGTCTTTGCAGTGTAATCCCCACAGGTCCCCAACCCTGTCCGAGCCTCTGCTCATCATCTGAACACTGACAACCGGTCTGACAACTGGGTCAGCAGGAGTTGTCCCTACCAGGACCTTCCAGGAGCCTTTGACAGGACCATTGCAGAGCACAGACCACACTCTCTCAAGGTTTTGGGACCCAAAGAACAAACAACCGATGGATGGCGCACTGCAGCGCAAAACAAAACTGTGTCTCTGGCCAGAGAGGATGAGGGCTGAACCTCCCAGGCTCCAACAGCTTTGCTGCTGCCAAATGAAGATGTTCTCCCTTCTCTGACTGAGGGATAAAAACAAGGCGGCAAACGCCCAGTGCGCTCCCCTCGGCTGGCTGTCGGCTGCCTGCAGCCCTGCGCTGGCTGCAGCCTCGGAAATAAATGGCCCCGTCAGCTGCTGAGGACGGTGAGCTCAGGATTTCAGATGAAAATGAAATAAGAGGGAACAGAGCCCAGAAGCAATGCAAAATAACAGCAAGGGGACTCAAAATCTTCCACTGCAGCAAGACAGATGCTCGGAGTGGTTCACCGAGGCGCTGACCTCAGATCTGGGGACACGGAATGAGCTCATGCCTGGGGCCAGCTGGGGCCCTGCACTCCCAGGACCTGTGGGCTGTCTGCTGGGCATGGCCATGGCCAGCAGGACCACTGCTTTCTGTGCTGCCCACCCCAGCCCATCCTCCCCTGGCCAGGCACTCATGCGTGTCTCGGGATCAACCAGCCCCAACAACAGACCTGCAGGCACTGCCTGCACCCTGGGCCAGAGAATGACAGCCTCCACCTGACGTGCTCCTCCCTGCAGCAGGGGACGGGACAGCCCCAGGGACCGGGCCGGAGCAGAGGAGCAGGGCCACCTTAATTCGGGGAGGGAGGAAGACAGGGACAGAACTCATCCTCCCATCCAGCCCAGGCCTTGGGTCATTCTGCCCCTTTGTCATCGCAGCTTCCTGTTTCCCAGCTCCCCGGCCTTGTATTTACCTGTGTCTCAATTCCCATGTCCTGAAGACAGAGGAAATCATCACACCCACTATGTGAGGTTATTGTAGACTTAAAACATAAAGGCCTTAGAACAGTATCAGCTGCATAGTAAGTGCTCTCACTAAATTAATTTTTTTGTTTTTGTTTTTGAAACTCAGGGGCTCATTACATTGCCCAGACTGGCCTTAACCTCATGGACTCAAGGGATCCTCCTGCCTCAGCCTCCTGAGTAGCAGATTGTGCCCAGCTTAGATTATTTTTATTTTTATAAATGCGTTATTTTGTATTCACATAAAGACATTTCTGTACAGGTAAGGGCACAGAATACTAGCCAAATTCAATCAACCATCTAAGTTCATGAATGCTATTTCTAAGGACTGGATTCATAGCAACACCCTTCTGCCCGAACTTCCCTTCCTGCCACCCACCCAACAATCTTTGGCATTCACACTTTCCATGCCCGCCCTCTCCTTGAGCCGTGCTAAGTATCTGCTGGTGCACAGCACTTGGACGAGCTCTCTCTCAAGAAATTGGGAAACAGAGGTTAAACTTGGGTGTCTGGAAGGGTCCAGCAGGTAAAGCAAGTATGTAAAGGGAGCCGCGGCTGCACTAAGGAGTGATGGGGATTGTGGCGAACTGGAGAGCCAAGCCACCTCTAAAGGAAGAAATGCTAGCTGCTCCAGTCAATTTCTGCCAGGCAGGAACACAGGCTCAGATTGCCACATCTTCTAAGTTTTCGAAGAAAGCCAGAAATCCAGATTTTTAATGTGAAAATCAGGATTTTTCAAATATTGCCACATAAGTCATTATTTTTAAAATATGGAAACCCTAGCAAGATAACCTGTGCCCTACTCCATTTTCTGTAGCTAATAACACAATGCCACCAATTGGGTATGTTTTAAAGAAAACATTTGTTTAGGCTCACGGTTCCGGTCCAAGGTCTGGGGCTGCATCAGGCAATGACTTGTGGTTGGAGTCCCAGGGTGGCACAGGGCGTCACCTGCTGAGACAGAGAAGAGGTGTGTGTGCTCAGACTGGCCTCCAACTCCTCGGCTTCCTGAGTGGCTGGGATTGCAGGCATAAGCTACTGTGCTGGGCTTCTCTCATTCATTTTACAAAGCCACCAGAGTTCAGTCCTGGGGTCTCCGCCTTCACGACTTCATCTACACCTAATCACCACCTAAACGCTGGTTCCACCTCCAGACACCACAGCTGAATCGAGCATCTTCATACATCCTGGGGAGATCAAGTTTCAACCTGGACTTCCAGAAGGGACAAACCAGATTTAAACCATAGCAGTAAGTTCCCACTTCTCACTTGAGGGAACGGGGTACCCCCTCCCTGTCTCTTTCTGAGAGTCCCAGGCAGGGGTCATCTCCTGCAAGAATGGGAGCCTCCTGGCCAATTGTGGAGGAACAGAGGAGGGAGAGGAGTCAGAAGACGGGAGCGCTTCAGCTCCGAGCTTCGCTCTGTGAGTTGTCTCCGCAGCACTCTCTGGAGGAGAGTGGTTAGGAAGGGGGGCAGGCGCCCCCTCAGGGCTGCGGTATCTGGACACTGCAGGGAGGGGAGATGGGCCCTGGACCAGGCTCTCCTTCCCCCAGAGTCCTCCGCCCAAGAAGAGTGCCCTCAGCCCTGGCACCTTCTCCAGGAGAGCAAGTCAGGCCCGCCAGGGCTGGAAACCCGTCTTTCCTATGCTCGTCTTTGCTCAGTGCTTGACTCAGCGGAGGCCCTTAATGTGGAGAGCGGTGTGTGGAGAGTGGTGTTATCCAAACAAGCTCCATTTTGAATCTTACCCTCCACTGTATAGAGCAAGGAGACTATGTTATGAGGAACCGCGTCCTTGCCGAATTAGATTGCCCTGGAACGTGATGAACGTTCTGTAACCCCGAGAAACAAGGAAGCCCATGAGGGTGGGGAATTCCCAAAGAACCAGAAAACAAGGAAGCAGGTGTCTCTGGATAAGGGTCATGATTAACAACCAAACTCACCTGCTGTATAAAAGAGAGGAGAACAATAAACTTGGGTGCTCGGTCTCTGGGAACCCTCCTGACTCTATCTCTTTGTCTTTCTTTTTCTTCATCCTCACTCCCCCATTCAGGTGCTGTTCGACAAGTGACGGCGGGCTCCGTCACCTTAAAGGATGCTGTCAAATGAGCCCGTGAACAAAACCAAGAACAAGAAGCAAGACATCCAAGAACGAGGTGTCACACCCCACCTCCAAAACTGAATTTCCCCCAGGACAGGCACAGATGCTCATTACACACAGCAGCCATGGAGAGTCTGCCACTCCCCTGGGGTGCCAGGGACAGGATGGGGAGTGACATCCCACAAAGGCCGGGTCAGGACAGTCACAGTTTTAGTGGGCCTCCTGGATCACCACAGAACTACAGTCTGGTGTCCCCTTGCCTGGACAGCAAGGCTTCTCCCTGGGCTGAGAGGCTCGGAGTACAAAGGGACTTTAGCCTAGTGGCACACACTGGACCAGATCCAGGTCTCCTGAATCCCGGTCAGGGGCTGGAGCCAGGGAGAGACAGGGGGGATCCAAAAGTCACGGAGTGCCAAAAAGCTCAGTAATGAAGATCAGTAAAATCTAGTTATGGTTTGTGTTTAGGTGGCCCCTAAAAGCCTCGTGCTTTCTGAGAGGTGGCTGACTCTAGCGTAGGATTGATTCACAGTGGGGCTAGGCCCAAGGGCACTAGGATTAAGGGTGTGAGTGCTACCCACCCTAAGTAGTCTGAATAAGATAAAAGGGGCAGAAAGACACTGTTAAGCCCTTTTATTGCTTTTGCTACCTTGTCCATGCCATGTTGTTTCTCTTCTGTGACGCCTGTTTGCCATCTCTGCCTTGGAGCCAGCCAATTATGGACTGAAACCTCTATAAATTGTGAGCTAAATAAACCTTTCCCCCTTTAACTTTGGGTGTTGGGTATTTTGTCTCAGCAACAAGAAAAGTAACTAAGATACATCTTGACACAATATTTTTAAAAATCAAAATTAGTACCAAAATATCCATGATAAGTAAAATGTCAAATTTTAAAAAATTAAATATAATCACACCCTTTCGTGCTTCAACCTCACCCACTGCACCCTGATTCCAGCCTGAACCAGGGGTCCTGTGGTGACAATGGACAGAGCCCAGGGTCAGGTGGAAATCCACAGGGAGTTGACTCCCCAGAGAGGGCTGGGGTTGGGCATTGGAGGCACAGAAAGGGGAGGCAGTATAGTAACTAGGGCACAGCAAGGAAATGTCCTCATCCCCCTTCTCATGGAGACCCGAGTCAGAGACCAGCCCACTCTCCTCAACTAACTATACCCCAGTGAGACCCCCTGCCAGGACAGCGACTCTGAACAGGGACAACCCCAACCCTGCACCCCTTCCAGAGAATCCTCAATCCTAATCAAATCTAAACCTTTTCATCTCAAGGGGAGTAGATTAAAACAATGTAGACAGCTGTGAATAACCCTTCCTGCCATGGAAAAACAACCCAGGTCGTTCTGACTTGCTGACAGCTGGTTATGGATGGGGAGGAAAACACATTCATAAACCGCTGACAGTAACTCCCTTTTAAGGCCTGTCCTGGGCCAGTGACGCCCCATCTCCACCTGCCCCCAGCATCTACAGCAGCTTGTTTCTCAGTGGTAAGCTTGGGCTTTGGGGTCAGATAGCCTAGGGTCAGTTCCTTTCCAGCTTTGCCATCTACCAGGTGGCCCTAGTCAATTTGTCAAGATGACAAGCCACCAACTATGCCTTCCAGAGGCCTGGTGGCAATTTCAGTGACATGATGAGAGCAGAGGGACAAACCATAGGGACAGGCAAAAGGGTGCCAGGACCCAGTACCAGCCCATTACTCAGGTAAAGGGTGTTGGCCAGATCTGCCAGTATCTTAAAAGAAAAAAATTTTATGTGAAATTTCCAGATGTTTAAAGACTGACAACTCATATTAAATTTTTTTTTAATTTAACCCAGTAGAGACAAGTAAAACAAGTCTGTGGGCCAGGGCCCCCATGAACCCTGTGTGTGCCTGATAGCTACAGATCACCAGTGGGCACCTAGCACCCAGTAGGTGCTCAGCAAGCATCAGAAGCTCCTGTCTTCAGAACACCTGCCCGGTGTCCTCAACACCCATTCCCACATGGCAGCTTGGGAAGGGATGTTCCCCAGGAAGAGAATGAAGATAAAATTGAAGAGAAGAGCTGGAAATCTGCAAGGCTCTAAGAGAGGGAGGAACTGCAGAGGGAATTCCTTAAAAGGATTTAGAAGGATTTTATTGGATGTCATTTAGCACAGTCACGGATAAGATCCGGCAGCAGTGGAACTGGAGTGCAGCATGGCATGTGGATGCATGTTGGGGGCAGGAAGGGGCAGCAGGGAAGCAATGTCCTTGCTGATGGTCTGTGCAGAGTGCTGGTCTCCTGTCTGCAGGCCATGCCAACATCTGATCCAGGAGTGTGGTGTTCTGCTAGGCCCAGTCCCCAGGGACAGCTCCTCTCCAGAGACACCATAAGGTCTTAGATCCTACACAACAGGCAGCTGCTTGCGTCCTTCACTGGACCTACGTGGGCTCTGCAGTCAGACCCAACTGGGTTGGAGCTCAAGTCTCCAATATCGGAGATTCTCAAAGCATGATCCCCAGATCCACAGCATCAGCACCACCAAAGAACCTGCCAGAAGGGATCCACTCCAGACCCACTGAGTCAGACACTCCCAGGGTGAAAACAAGCCCTCACCAGAGGATTCAGATGCACAAGGTTTTAAGAACCTCTGCTCACTAGTCCTGCAGTCATCCGTGTGGACAATAACCTGACTCTATGAAATGATCAGATCTAACCCGCAGGATTACCCTGAGTTCCTCCATCAGGGAAAGGGCTTCTCTGGATGTGCCTAGCACTGTGGGAGCTGCTGGCCAGGGGCAGGCAGCACAGTCTTGCCTTGATTTGGACCTTGATGATTAGACAGATAATGAGCAAGTAAGCTCCTGCGCCAGTCCTCAGATGGACGAGGAAGGTGCAGTCTGATGCAGCGAAGATCGAGCAGTGACCCAGGGCCACGCTGCCAAAGCCCACACAGCCCACAGGGCCCCTGGCCCAGCACTCCTGGCTGTCTCGCTGTTCCTCCACCACACCTCTCTTCTGCTTTCCGGCCACTGCATGGCTGTTCTGTCCACCTAGCAAGGTCTCTTTCCAGATCTGCCCCTTGCTCGGGCCTCAGTGTCACCTCACTCCTCCCGGTCCCCTCTCATTCTGTCTAAAGTAGTCTCTGCTGTCACCCTGCATCTCTCCGTTGCTCTGCTCCTGCCCGGTCTCCTCACAGACTGTAGCCAGGCACTGGCCAGTGTTTTCTGGTCCTGCCTCTCCCCAGCTGAAGAGGAGCTTTTGGGAGCTGTCCTTGTCTGTCCTGGCAGGTCTGTCACCGCACCACCACCAACCAGTGTTCGCTGAATGAATGAGCAACCCAAGGTTTATCCCCCCGCCCCCCCCCCCGCCTCGTGAAGCCCAGAGAGAGCTGATAACCACAAGCCCCTCCACCCCAGCAGGCTCTGCTCACGCCCTTTGCTGGTTCTCTGATGATGGGGAAAAGTAGTAGAGACAGAAAGAAAACGAGGAAAGAAGGGTGTCATGCAGGGACCCTAAAAGCTGGTTCTGCAGGGGAACCCTCTCTTCTCCAAGGGTGAGGACTCTGTGACCCCAGGACCCAGTCGCTGCTTGCATTTCCAGAGGGTACAAGTGACTGGACCATGTGGCTCTGTCTGGGGCACGTGGACTGGGGGAAGGGTACCTGGTATGACACAAGCTATTCCTAAGAGGCTGTCACGAAGTGTTTGACTATGCGGGCTTGTAAGGCTAGAGTGGTCAGCCGCAGCAGTGCTCTGGAAGCTGGGGGTGGAGGTGCCATTGGATATCAGCACTTGTAGTCCCCACTTCCCGAGGTCCTTAAGGACGCTCCATGGCAGATCTGGGGCAGGCGCCCCTGGACCTCCAAAGAAAGGCAGGAGGCGGGGAACTAGAGGTCTGCAGGATGTGGACCGCCTTGGGGCAGCGGAAGGTGGAGACGTTAGGCCTTGTGCAGACCCTGGGGCACTGGTGCAGGGGCTGCGACCACCCGCACTTGGACCGCGGGAGACAGCACGTGACTTGGCGCACCGGCCGGAGGTTGTGCAGCCCCGGGGCAGCGGAGCGAAGGGACCTGAGAGGCCGATGCGGCAGGCGCAGGGGCTGCGGCGCGCGGGGGAGGAGCAGGAGGCCCGGGAAGGGACAGCGCGGGCAGGCTGGCGGGTTGGGGTCCTCGCGCGCGTTGTCCCGGCTGGACAAGGGTTCGTGCCGCGCGGAGCGACGCCCCAGAGGGCGTGCTCGGGCCCGAGCCCCGAGCTGAGGTACGCGCCCCAGGCTGAGCGCCCGGCGCGCGGTGCCGAGGGGCGGCACCACGGGGCGAGGCCCTCCCCGCGCAGCGCCCCGCTGCCGGCGCCCGCCCTCCCCGCCCCGAGCGCAGGCCCCTCCCTCCGGCCCGCCCCCGGCCCCCCAGCCTCCTCCCTCCGCGCCCGCCTCGCCGCGCGCCCGACGCACTCGCAGCCGGCGGGGACCTGGAGGCGGAGGCGGGGCGGCCCTGGGTCCGCGCGGGAGCTGAGCCCGGCCCCGGGGCCGAAGTTTGGCCGCGGCTCGGGAGCCCGAGCGGGCGCCCCCGCGGCTTCAGCCCCGCTCTCGCGCCCTCGTCCTGCACCCTTGGGCTCCGGGGGACTCGAGCCGCGGCCGAGCCAACTCCGAGGCGGGATCGCCGCGCCGGG